GTATTCAAATTTAGAGTTGTCAGTTATTTACGTAGTTGGGGTGTTTCTTTGGTACTGGTGATTGAACTCAGGACCCTATGCTTGCTCGGCAGGTTCTTATGTTGCTGAGCTATCTTTCTGGCAGTTATTTCTGATAAACTTAATATTTCTTTCTTAACAATTTTACTCCTTTAACATTTACTTTGAGTGTTAATAAAGTATAGTTATTTCTTTTTCTATGCTTTTCTTATATCCTAGTATTTCACATATTGAGATACTATATGTTTAAAACTTCATTCTGATAATCTGTTTAATACACACACACACACACACACACACACACACACAGTGAAAAACCAGGTTTTTAATCATCTCACTAAGTATGTTCTACTTATCCTAATCATTCTATGTATTGTATCCTTTTACTTTTCTTTCTTTCTTTCTTTTTAACATATTTGGTATAGGGTCTCATTTTGCAGCTCAGGATTCATGGTGACCCTCTTGTCTTCAGCCTCCCCTCGCTGGATTACAGGTGTGTGCCACCATGCTCAGACTCAGTGGCCTGCTCAACATGTCTGTGGGGGAGGTTGATGTAACATGCAGTGCAGGGATTTTTTCTTTTTAATTTCAAAGTTTATTACAATAAAAAACACATTGTCATTTATCCTCCACAACATACCTCCAGTTACATCAAACATAATAATCCCATCATTCTTGCCACTTTCTGAAGCAGTTCTGGTAGTCCTCTTTCATAAGTTTCTTTTCTTTTCTTTGTACCAGGAATCAAATTCAGGACCTTGCACTTGCCAGGGAGGCACTTGTGCTGCTAAGCTATATTTCCAGACTCTCTTGTAACTTCCTTCCTTCCTTTCTTCTTTCTGTCTTTCTTTTTTTTTGTCTTTCTCTTTCTTTTTATTTTTCCCCATAATTTTATTGAGAAACAAATAGAAATGAGACAGTTTCAAATCAAATTGGTAGGACAGTTCCAATAATTAACACATTGCATACTCTCTTCCTAGTAGTTATTTGCTGTACAAGATGCAGACATGATATCCTATTTACAAATACTATTAGAACAAATCCCTCTATTCATTAAGAGAATGTAACTATATATCCTAACCATTTTGAATACATAGATACAAAATGGACATTCATTTGTATCACCTTTGTTTAGTTCCGTCATTTGAATATTATAGGTGTAAACTCAGCAAAATATTCTAAAAGAGTTCAGTAGTCCATAACAGTATTGGGTCTTCCGCTTGACTGGCAATGTCAGAAATTGTTGACCTGAGTCCCCTACAGCTCAACATAACACCATGGCTTTACTTCTTATACTTCGTTTTTATACTTTTCTGCTGGCTGGTTAAGACCAAGGTAAAGCAAGACCTATGCTACAAAAGTTGTAGCTTTTGGATCTGATAAGGTCAGTCAAATCCCCTCAGGATTTATCCTGAGATCCTGTACCTCAGATTATACATCCTTTGTCAGTGTCAGCCATGTGGATGAGTCACAGCAACTGCTTGGCCAATGTAGTGCTGGGGATTGAACGCTGGTCCCCACACTTGCCTAAGCAGGCACTTTTAGTCCTCTGAGCTATCTTGCCTGCCCTTGTCTTTTTGAGACAGGGTCTGGCTATGCAGTTCAGGCAAGTGTTGAACTCACTTTGTAGCCCAGGCTGCCCTCAAACTAGTAGCAGTCCTCCTGTCTCAGCTTCCCGACTGCTGGGAAACAGTTGTAGTTGTGAGCTACCATGTCCAGCTCTCCTTTTTAACTTACATTTAGAGTGTATTTTATTAGTCCACATGACATCTACTGTACTATCAAGGGAATTATGTACTTTTCTTTTTATTTTTTTTGGAGGGTGGAAGTGATTTTGCTTTTATTTCTGTCACTGTAGCTCAATCATGAAACGTCAGTGATTCATTTCTGGAGTGGAATGGAAGAAGGCACTGTGCATGCTTCGGGGCACAGCCGCCTGAGGGGCACAGGGTGGGCTCACTGCAGCAGCGCAGGAGCACCGACTGCCCTGCCAGCAGGTAGGTGATGTTGTGTGAGTGAGACAGCTGGTATGAGATGTCCTCGGCAGCTTCCAGTTTCCGCAGCTTGATCAGGCCATCACCAGCAGTGGCCAGTGACTTGGTGATCAGCTTGGCTGCCTTGGAGTCGCCCTCTGCAGAGATGAGGGCCGCCTTCTTCTGCTGCTCAGTCTTTTCCACCATGAATCTGGCCCTTTCCGCTTCCTGTTGAGCCACCTGTTCGGCTTCCATGCCTTCTGTGAACTTCTTCCTGAAGGACAGATGCATCAAGGACACACCTTCTGGGATAAGGCCAAAGGTGGCCGCTCGCTCTGTGAGGTGGTCACTCACCAGCATTGAAGCAAGTCACCGGGGACTTGAGGATCTTGGTGGTGATGGATGGCAGCATGCACTCGTCGTAACCCTCACCGATGCTGGTGAAGATGTGGGCCGCTGGCTGGTGACGGGCCAGAAGAGGATGCGCAGGGTGATGTCAACATTCTGCAAATCTTTGCTGTCAGCGATGACCAGCACGTTATAGGGTCGAGGGCAGCAACCCAAGATAATTGGCTTCTGTACCCATGAGATGAGAAAGTGAGTGCCTTCCCCTACCGCGATGTCCTGCACTCCACAGAATTACTCAAAGATGACTGCTCTGTGCCCAGTGTGCATTGTATAAGGCAGAGTTCAGCACACCGCCTGCCACAGCTAAGGCCAGGCCGAACTTGTTGATGGATTCAAACACTTTCACAGCCATGTTTCCTTCTGCGGGCCCCCCTCATGCCACTCTCACCTGCTCCCATTCTGACCTCCTTATCTATACTTTTTCTTACTGTGATAAAAGTGTACACCTCACTACACACATTAACACTGCGCAACAATCACTGTTATCAGTCTTCAAAATACTTTCACCTTCCTAATGCGAAACTCTAGAACCATTAAACACTATATTCCCCTCTTCTCAGTCTTTATCTCTTTTTTTTATTTTTTTATTTATTTTTAATTTTTTTATTTGTGGCCAGCTCAGCCCACCCTGGGGGTGGGGCTAGTGTTGCATGTGGTGCTGGGGATCAAACCGTGGTCCCATTAGCTTTTGCCTAAGCTTGCCTAAGCAGGTGCTTTAGAACACTGAGCTATCTCACCAGCCCTCAGTCTTTATCTCTTGTGTCTTTGAATATAATGCATTAGCAACCCCTTTCAAAGCTTAGCAGCTTAAAATAACAGCCATCTATTCACTCTTTTAATGCTGTTAAGTAGTGATGGATTGATTCCTGTAGATGATTTCTACCATCTCAGATGGGTCCACTAGTGCATCTGTGGGTAACTGCCAGGCGAGGCAGGCTTACCTGCTGATCTATGCTAGTCTCTCTTATATGCACAGGGGTAGACAAACTATAGGCTAGATTGCCTTGGCTGTCTTCCACATAGTTTCGTGCCATTTGGTAGGCTTCTGGGCTTCCTCACACGCATGCAATAAACTTCTGAGAGTGATTTTAGGAAATGCATAACTTGTCAAAGCAAGTTATAAAGCTGACTCAAGTTCAAGGCGGTAGGAAGATTCAGCTCCTTGAGATGTGCTTCAACACCCTTTCCACTGCTATAATTCTACCAAGATCCCATTCTCCTGGCTAAAGAGCTATCAAAAGAGAGCTCCTGGCCCTTAAGCTCCTGGCTGCTCCTCTGTGAATAGTACTAGAGGAAAACTGGTCTTAGGTAGGGCCGGCCAAATAGCTCAGTGGATTAAAGTGCCGGCTTGGGCAGACATAGGGGCTGGAAGTTTGATTCTTGGGCCTGCTGTGCTGGCCCCATCCCTGGGGCATGCTAAGATGGCAATTGAGACTGGGTGTGGTGGCATGTGCCTGTAATCCCAGCTCTTGGGAAGCTGTAAACAGGCAGATCACTGAGTTTGATCTTGTAGTGAGACCCTGAACACCCTGTAGACCCTTCCATTTAAAAAACCAACATGGGGCTGGTGAGATGGCTCAGTGGTCTAAAGCACCTACTTAGAACAAGCTAAGCCAAGCAAAGCAGAGGGACCGCGGTTCAATCCCCCAGCACCACATGCCAGCCAGCCCCGCCCCCTGGTGGGCTGAGCTGGTCACACACACACACACTAAATAAATAAATAAATAAATATTTAAAAAAAAAATAAAAAAAAATTTAAAAAAAACAACAAACAAACAAACAAAAAAAACCCCACTGGGTATATTTCTCTGAAACTCATCTTCTTACTATCCTGTCCTAGTAATTGATCATTATCTTGATAGCTTTTCAGTGTTTTTAAATGGGTTTTTCACATTTATTCAGTTTTCTTGACTGTTCTCAATGGAATGTTCATTTGAGTCACCTAGACACCTCCACCTGGAAGCAGACCTTCTAATCCACTATTTTGAGGAAAAGGATTCTATGTTGATTTGTATAATTTTAAAAACCATACAGTATAGACAATTTTTTTAATATTTCTTTCTTTAAGCACCACTGGTGGTTTAAACACAGTGAGTCAGTCACCTACCATAATGTGCAGACTATAAGGAGTCTTGCAGAAAGAAAGGCCCACTGGTGGGAAAATGAGGCCTCTCATTGAGAACCCTGTGAATGGGCATCTGGCGGGGAGCTCTTCCAGCTTAGGCAAACCTCTGCTCTACCACAGTCAAACTGACATCTTTGCTGCAATATGTGAGACCTGCAGCTAAACCACCCTGTTAAGCCAGTGTGCACCCTAATCTGCAAACTCTGAGATGATACATGTTGTTTATGACAATTTTGGAGTAATTTGCTTTGTATTAGTAGTTAACTGACACAATGTTTTTTGGTGCTGGGAACTCAGGGCTTTGCATTTGCTAAGTACACATTTTACTGCTGAGCTACATCCCCAGCTTTGTAGTGTTTGTTTTAAACTTTAATAATATTGTTTTAATATATTAATATTTTCACTTAAAATTATTTTTATATGAGAAAATGAAATAACTTATAACGTTTAAATATAAAAGAATTTAACCACTTTACCTGTTTTGTTTACTCCTAAGGGGATGCAGAGTTTTTCAGAACAGACGAAGTCATTCCCACAATAGTACTAATAGATAAGCCATTGAGAAAGCCTTTATGATTCATTCTCACTTGCTGAAGAGCGTCTATGATATGGTCTCTGTGGGAAAGGAAACATACGTCAGCATTCCCCTTAGTAACATCTTCTGAACATCAGTAAATTATTGAAGTGAACTACATTGTTACAGAAAAGTTTTAAATTATTTAAAACATGCTTTAAGTTATTACCTGCTAACTTCTGGATGCAGTTCAACCAGCTTCTTTATGATCTTGGTAAAGCTACTAAGGTTCAATGTATTTGGAGGTATGAACTGAACAGGTATTTTTGGTGGAAACTGAGCAGATTCAATCTGTTTACAATTCTTCTTAGCATCCTAAATGAATGAACAGAGTAATTATAAAAATAAGAGATAAGGGAGACAGGATACTGCTAGAAAGGTGAAAGAACCTGGAATGACAGAGATGCTAACTGGAAGCTTCCCTATCTATGCAACCTAAGACAACACACTCCTGCCTGAAGCTCATGGGGCCCTCTTGATCTTTGCCACCCTCATGACTACGGCTAACTGGCTGGACCAAGAGTCTTGTCTCCTGAGCTACTAAACAACAAAAGCACAGGCTAGGTCAGGTCTACTTCCTGCCTAAAAAACGTGGAGCTGGCATATAGAGCAAAAGTGTGAGTCAAATGATCGCATGGGCTTGACCAGAGACACTGAAGAGTTAGAACTACTACACAGAACAAAACCAACTGAAGTAGAAACAGCCTCAGGCAAAGGAAACTAGCAGACAGAGAAGCAGGAAAAGGAGCACAAAAGGATGCAGAAGTAGTGGCCACATGGACCACATGAGCAACAAGGCAAAAGACAGGGTCCCCAAACCTCCAGCTTAGGCTGTCTATACCCTAAATGTATGCTGTCTCCTTTTTACCACGCTGATTGAAACTATGTACACCAAATCCATCCTAAGCATGCAGTCAGAGATGAAAAGATTTTCTTTTTTTTTTTTGTATTTTTAGTACAGGGTCTACAGGGTCCCACTACATAGACTGGACTCAATAGTGATCCGCCTGTGTTCAGCCTCCCAAGAGCTGGGATTACAGGTGTGCCCTGCCACGCCCAGTCTCAATCCATCTCAGTGAGCCCTGGGGCGGGGCTGACAAGGCACACTGGGGATCAAACCCCTGCCACTGTGTTTGCCTAACTAAGCAGGTGCTTTAATAAGCTATTTGGCTGGCCCTGATAAAAGATTTTTTAAAAGGATGGCCAATATCAAAATGCCAAGTTGTAACTAGGGACAATGAAAGCAACAGGTTAAAAATGGAAGTTGGAATATTAAGAACCAAATAAAGCAACCAAAATAAATTTGAGATATTGGATATAAACCACTCCACTAAGTTTGCCTAGCATGTGGGAAGCCCTGGGTTCAGTCCCCAGTACCAGAAGGAAACAACAAAACAGCAACAGCAACAACAAACCTCAGTTCTGATCCATGTTCTCACTCCTACCTCAACATGGCTGGTGCCAGAGGTACTTACTCTACACAGACAGGTATACCGCATGTGTGAGACCATTTCTGGGGTCATTTATGAAACTAACCTGGCCCAAAGGCAAAAGCTTACTGTCTTGCTCAGACATCATCTGCCTCAGCCTAGTTCTGGGCAATGCAAAAACAGAGGAGGCTGGGTTCATTTCTTTGTTCATACTTTTCTCCAAATTACTTGAACCTCTTTTTGAGGCAAGTGGTGACATGTACTCTCCGTGAGTTTTAACAAGTCTCACATTTACTGATTTTCCATTTATTTCTATTCCATTCATTTCTTCCACAGCCATCTTTGCATCGTGGTTTTTGTTAAAAGAAAGAGATGCATATCTATAGTATAAAAGCACAAGACCAAAAAGTTAATCATAATTTTACCTTAAACCTTGTAATTACTGACTAAGTATGTCTTTCATAAGAATAACTGCTCTTAAAAATATAAAAGTTGAGCCGGGGAGATGGCTCAGTGGAATAAGTGCTTCCCTGGCAAGTGCAAGGGCCTGAGTTCAATCCCCGGTTCTGCCAAAAAAAAAAAAAAAGTTACTCCAGGTATGGTGGTGCATACCTATACTCCCAGCACTTGGGAGGCTGAGGCAGAATGTCAGAGATGAAAAGATTTTCTTCCTTTTTTTGTTATTTTAGTACAGGGTCTACAGGGTCTCATTACGTAGATTGGACTCCTAGTGATTCTCTTGTGTTCAGCCTCCCAAAGAGCTGGGATTATAGGCATGTGCTGCCACGCCCAGTCTCGATTGCCATTTTAGTGCACCACAGGCATGGGGCTGGCACAGCATGCTGGGGATCGAACCCTGGCTGCTGCATCTGCCTAAGCAGGTGCTTTAATCCGCTGGGCTATTTGGCTAGCCCAATACCAACAATATTATTAGGTCAAATTAAAAAAGCACATGATCTTAATTGACTACATTTAAGATAAACACTTTTAATAAATTTCAATATAACTATAAACCCTTAATAAGTGCTTTTGTATTTGAAATAAATAGCCACATTTTAAAATGGTAAAACAGTACAATCATTTCTACGAAGTTATCACAGTTGTTATCTGGTATTTTTTTAATCTGGTATTTTTGAATAATTAAACATCATAGAGAGTACCAATATGCATACTGGAATTCATTACATATAGATGATATAGCCATCTACCGAAAAAATAAAAAAAAACACTGAAAATTCAAGTCAGAAATAATAAAATTAAAAACTTTTTTGAGTACCTGATGTGTGCCAGGCTTAATTTCTAGTATATTTAACTTTTATAATTTGTGGCAATGCTCTAAAGACACTATTATCATTAATAGGTGACAGAGGAAGAGGCTGAAGTATATAAAGGTAAGTAATTTTCCCAAATTCAATCATCAAGTTATTGATAGAAGTGGGAGTTGAGACAAAGTCATGTACTTTGGAGCCCATTTTCTTAACTGATGCACTCTGCTTCCCCTATGAATTGGTATGTAACAAGACAGCACACAAAAATCAGTAACTTTCCTATGTGCCATCATGAACTTACACACCTGTAAGTAGTGGAAGAATCATGAATTGAGATTTCAGAAACTTGATATTTCTGGAAATGAGATCTCAAATCAGCCTACAGGAGAAATACAAAATGTGAAAGGTAGAAGAAATAATCATAAATAATCAATAAATTTGAAAATGAAGCCCCCTCAAGAAATCCTAACATACCTCAGATACTGAAGGGCAGAGACCACCAACATGTACCAAAAACCCTTTATCTCTTTCTAGGGGTTCAATATTCTTCATTTGTGCTTATATAAAAACATAAAACAGAAATGACCATTACTCTATTGTTATTTATAAGAAACTATGAATGTTCGATCCATGGTTTTGTCTGTAATTACAAAATTTACTTAAAAAATCATCAGCAAATACCAGCAGTGGACTGAAAACAATAACCTGGAATATAACTAAGGTTTCTGGGCCCTAGACATTTTGTCTCATAAATAGTTGGATTGGTAAAAAAAAAAAAAAAAAAGTTCGATTGGATGATACTAAGTCTCCTGGAGATCGTGGCCAGAAAGCTTTCTTCATACACGTTCCTTCACTCAAGAAACAGCCTATCAAGAAAACCTTTGTATCAGATAAAAGTCAACATCATATATATAATTTTGAGCAATATCAAAGGTACATAGAAAAGCAAAGAGCATTATCCTAGAAATTCCAAAACTAGGATTACAAACATTGCCTTTTTTTTGGGGGGGTGGGAGCGGGCAGGGGACGACCAGGGATCGAACTCAGGCCCTTGCACTTGCCAGGGAAGCGCTTATTCCACTGAGCCATCTCCCCAGCCCCTCAAACATTTCTTGTTTAATAACAATATTCAAAATTTTTAGACTGCATTTTAGGGTCTCTGTTGTGAAGACAATCTAGTCTAAAATCAAAATAAAAGATTCTCTGAGGGCAGTGAGAGCTCAGTGGACTAAGCTGCTGCTTAAGCAAGCACAGAGACGGGGATGTGATCCCCAGCACCACATGTCACACCGGCCTTGCCCCCAGGAATGCTGAGCTGGCCACTGAGACCATGCCTATAATCCCAGCACTGGGATTACAGGTATACACAGGATTACAGTGTATACCTGTAATCCCAGCGCTGGGGAGGTTGAAAATAGGAGGATCACTATGAGTCTGAGCTGTGTAGTGAGACCTTGTACCAAATACATTAAAAAAAAAAAACACAGAAAAAGAAAAAAGAAACTTAAAAGTTCCCTGAATTGAGATTGAAATTATAATCAGAGTAGGGAGCACAAAAATATTTGTTGAATGAATTCTGAAGAGTAGCCTTTAGGTTCATGATTTTTTTTTTAATGTTTACATAATGGGAGATTTGTAAATTTTATTCTTTTCTGTAAATAATAGAAAAAGAGGGGGAGAGAAGAGAAAGAAGGGAAGGAAGAGGGGATGAGGAGCGCAGCAGTTACTGTGTGCATCCTGCACTCCAGGCGAGACGCCAGCCATCACCTGCGTCACTGCATGGAATTCTCACAGCCGCCTTGTGAGGTGGTTATTATTATTTTCATTCTACAGATAGGGACAATGAAGCCTCAGTAGTCTTGAAAAAATGAACTAGCACGTGGTGGTGCTACATTCAGCCAGAACCTCTCATTGTAGGTAAAAGAGTACCTAATCTTCCTTAACTTACTTCATTTACGTTGTTGATCTTTTTTGCTATTAACATGTCCGAAAGAGAAAACAATGAAGCTATCTTTACAATTTACTCTGGAGTGAGGAAGGAGTAGTTTCAGTAAAAAAAGGGCAGAAGACTGATGTTCTCAACTTTTCCCTTCCCTAGCCCAATACAACTGTCTACCCTATGCACTGGGCACTGGCCCTGAGCAGCACAGTGTCCTCATCTGGGCGAGCAGGTGCTGAAGTAAAAGCGTGGGAGCCGCCAACACAGCAAGCATGCGAGATACAGCCGGGACTAAGTGGTGATGGTCACCGACACCCAAGGAGGGAAAGATGATTCCAATAAAAGTAGATGTGACAAATCGTCACACTAAAACTAGATAATTGGTTTTTTTTGTGTGTACTAAACGTACATAAATGAAAAGATACGTAAAAGAATGGTCACTGCGAGTGGTTATTACTGGTTGGAGAAACCAGCTAATTTTATTTTTAAAAATCTTAATAAGGGGCCGGAGAGATGGCTCAGTAGAATAAGTGCTTCCCTGGCAAGCGCAAGGCCCTGAGTTCAATCCCCGGTTCGGGAAAAAAAAAAAAAAAAAAAATCTTAATAAGGGGCCGGAGAGATGGCTCAGTAGAATAAGTGCTTCCCTGGCAAGCGCAAGGCCCTGAGTTCAATCCCCGGTTCGGGAAAAAAAAAAAAAAAAAATCTTAATAAGATTTCCTTCTATAAACAGGGGAAAAAAAAATCAATACATCTACTACTACTATGGAAAACCTATCCAAGAAACAGATAGGAAGTTAAGAAAGGTAGCATAAATATCATTAGAAATGGCATAAGGGAGACTGGAACAGTGGCGCACACCTATAATCCCATTACTCTGGGAGGCTGAGGCAGGAGGGGCTCAAATTCAAGCACAGATCTGAACAACTCAGAATTTAGTGATATCCTGTCTTGAAAATGATTCTTTTTTTTTTTTTTTTTGCAGAACCGGGGATTGAACTCAGCCCTTGTGCTTGCCAGGGAAGCGCTTACTCCACTGAGCCATCTCCTCGGCCCTTTTTTAAAAAATTTTTTTTTTTTTTGAAAATGATTGAAGAATGTAACTCACTGGGAAGGCACTAGTTCAATTCACCAGCAAAAAAGAACACTAATTATAGATCTTGGCAAAATTGTATCGTAAGGTATTAATGGCTATCTGAAGGTGAAAACATTCCTTACATAAGACAAAACTGTTGAAGTAAGGAAAGCAATGTTCACTGCTCACACAAACAAGACCCTTAGCACTGGATGCCTGATACATTGAGGGGCTGACTGGACTGACCATGTACCTGCCCTGGAAAATGGCTGCTGGGGTTCAGAAGGGGGCCCCAGAAGGCCGAGGCAGATCTGAGTGGAGGACAGCACTGCCTGGCACCTACCTGATGACCAAATCCTGCACCTAAGGTTTAAGTAGTTTTCTGAAAGAGAAATGAACATTTAATACTGACTTGCTCTTTAAAAACTGACCTCAACCCAGTCAATTTTCTTGTTTTAAAAATATTTGTAAAGAAAAGCCATAGACAGGAACAAAATACTACAACCCAATCTCCCAAATCAATGCAGAAGCAAAGCAAACAAGCACGCACACACGCACGCACACACCATTTTCAAGTAAGTTGGGTTAGAATTTCTCAGTAAACTCTGAAAAACCAACCTGCCGCAAACTTCGGATTCCATCTGTCATGATCTATTTGATTTTCTTCTATTCCTGAGGAGTCAACTCCTGTCACGTTCTCTTTAGCATCAAACCAGTCCTCACTGACTTCATGGTCATTTCTGCACTCTAGGACATTGAACACCAATGAGTTCCGAGTTATGTGTGATGTTTAACCCTCTGAAATCCTAGATCTAACTATTTTCTACAGAATAACAGTAACTAGGGCCAGCCAGATAGCTTAGTGGACTGAAGTGTCTGCTTAACCAGATGCAGGGCCAGGGGTTTGAGCCTGGGTATGCTGTGCCAGCCCCGCCCCTGGGGCATGCTGAGGTGGAGATTGAGACTAGGCGTGGTGGCGCGCCCCTATAATCTCAGCACTTGGGAGGCTGAACAACCAGGAGAATCACTACAAGTCTGATTTATGTAGTTAGACCCTCTAGACCATGTATTAAATACATTTTTTTAAAAAAAGAATAACAGTAACTATCTTTAAGAAATTAAGGGAACTTGCAGGTTTAGCTCAGTTGTTTAAGCCAGTCAGGCTTGCCGGACAGTGGCTTGATCCCCAGCTCCACATGCCATACCACACCTGCCATTAAGGTAGTTTTTTGAGCCAGCCCCCCCCAAAAAATAAATAAATAAAAAATAAAAAAAAAACAGCTCAGCAGATTAAAGCACCTGGTCAGGCAGGCACAGGGGCCTGGAGTCTGTTCTCTGGTACCACCCCCGGGGCGTGCTGAGATGGCGACTGAGACTGGGCATGGTGGCACGTGCCTATAATAATCTCAGTGCTTGGGAGGCAGAAAACAGGAGGATCACTACAAGTCTGATCTATGCGGTGAGACCCTGTACACCCTGTACATCCTGTCCTAAGTAAACT